ACTATATGCACATCTAAATAAACATATCTGGGGAGGAGGAATGTGCAGGGATGTGGGGAGAGAGGGCAGTATATAAATCACTACTGAGGAGGGCCAGCATGGATCCAATGGATCAATGGCCTACTTCTGCGCTCTAATGAATCTAAGGGTTAAATTGGTCTTTTTATCTCAAAGTCCTTTGAGAAATAGGAATGCTCAGAGGATTAATAATAAAGAGGAGATTTTCCTGGATCACCTGTTTGCAAGTATCAGAAACTGGGGCAGGTCAGAACCTTTCTGTGCAAAGAAGCCCTCCTCATTTCGTTCCACTAATTTAAATGGATGAAAATTCAAGAGGATTCCTGCACAGATGTGGCTCCAATCCACCTGGATTTCAAATATGCAGTGTGAGCAGATTATCCTGGAAAAAGACCAGGAAAATACCCTGTCATTTGCTTCTCTTCCAACATCCCGTTTGCTCACATCTGAATTTTTGCTAAGGTGAGTGAACACAAGAATATTAGATCCTAGACTAGTCCTAAGAGACAAAACATAAAATGGGGAAGCAGTCTAGAAAAGATTATGCACACTGGGTGAAAAATACAATCCCAAGACCTTCTTGACGGTAAACAATTGACTTGGCCTTACTAGGTTTGTGCAGAAACCCAATCTCTTACTGTTAGAATGAAAAGTTACTTTTTATTATCATCTATTTACTTCAGCACCACTAATGTTGAAGTTGGACAATTAGGAAGAATGTCATAGCATATCGCAGGAGTTAGTGAGCATGGCAGGTTGTTCAATCTATTTTACCCTATGCAGTTGAAAAAGTGGCTAATTTAGGAAAAGGACCCAAATTAGGCTATACAATTATTTGATACTCAAATGAGTCAACTGCTTGCCAAATTTTGAGATAAACAGTTACCACTGCTGTCTCAGAAAATACAAATTAATGTGCTATCTGATAAACAGAAGTACAAAATCATTTGATTAATACCTACACAGCTTTGATGGGGATCAAATGACAGACAGTTCACTGGTTCCAAATATTAAGGCTGTCACTCGGCTAAAGATACATGAAGCACAAGGAGATCAAAGAATGGATTACTTCATTGCTGGAATACTTGCTACAGCAAAGGATTTGTTACCAGTCTAAGTATCAAGACCAAGGCAAATGTGTACTGATTCTGTGTGTGCCCTGTCCAACTGAATGTAACAACGATAGAATTTTTAAGTCAAACAGCCTATAAATGGATTCCAATTGTGCAAGCACAAGGCAAAGTCAATGCTGAAAGAGTGAATCAACATAGAATCAAGTCTCCTATAAGTAGAATTATTTCTTGGCTCAGGTCTTGTCTCACTTCAAATGGAAAAAGCAAGCTATCGGACAAATCTAACAAGCCAATGGAGTCGGAAAATTGGATGTAGTATCAAATACTATTTCTCCCCGCTGCGTTTCTGGGGATGGTAAAGGAATAGCATCAGCAAATTCAAGAAGAGACAGTGTCAGAGATTTCAATTAAAATTGATGTGAAAGATGAAGAAATGCATGTTTTATTTCAAACTTTGAGACTGTCGAGATAGACTTGAACACGTTTAGATCCTGTATAGTCCTACTGTTCCTAAAACCTGTTGACTTAGAATGTCTATACATTGAACATTCTCAACACAAATTTTAGCCAGAAAAAATAGTTCCAGGAAATTAAAAGTTAAATATGGAAATATTTTGCAAATACATACCATTCATATTGGCAAATAAAATTAACTACAACATGTGGAGAATGGATTACATTTTTACTGCAGTTCAAAACCAACTCCAACAATGCACAGGCAATGCTGGGTCCCCTTTTGGACTATGGTGAATGTGACTGACTCGTGAAAAAGCTAATGCACAATACAGTTTGTTTGAAGTTGTCTGGCTGACTGGTGTTTGCAACTTAAAATATAATGCATGAATTTGTATCTTTTCTAAACATAAAAGAATCAATTATTTCTGTACGAACAGGGTTTTTATTTGAATGAAAGAAAAACTGCTAGACACCAACTAAGAGGACAGATTGCATCTGTTTATTATGGGTAACAGAGTGATAACTTTGTTTCTAATTAATGCGTTTGGATTTGCATTTAAGGGCACAAGGGTATCATCTGTCCTTCCTCCATTAGTCTTAACGTTAAGCAAAGTATTATATGAGAATGCAGCAGATGTTATCAACAAGCTTTTAATTTAATGAGGGTGCCTGCTTCTATCACCCTTTCAAGTTGTTACAAATTTGGGTAGAGTATTCATGAGTTGGAAGGCAGGAAGTTGGAATTTGTTGGTAAAAATGATCGTGGAGAAAAAAGTGCCTTGGTCCCTTTAAGAGCTTGTGCTTTATCTGTGCTTGGAAGTTTATAAATTCAGGTGCACAGAGAGTGCCCAAATGGAAATATTTTGTATAGAACAGCCAAGCAGCATTTTTTCCAACTCAACAAGTTTGAATTTGGTCAATTAATTTAAAGAAAGCACCTAGATACAGAAAGCCAATTGAATTTAAATCTGATGATGTTGACAACCTGAAACGCATCATATTGTAAGAATTTGACTGTCATTACAGATATATAAGATGAGGGCATTTGGAAAATCGGGGAGAGCCAACTGCCATCTGAAAGAGAGAGACAACTGCCAACTTCCAACTGCCACCTGCCAGAGTCAGCACCATTCAGCTCTCAGAGAAAGCCCATCTAATTAATCAAAAGTACCACAGCATTTTAGCTCAAAGTCCTCACAGGAGAAATTACAGAGAATCAGCGGTACAAAGGCATTTGTGAAAAGACCGGAGGCGACAGAATATTCCAGAAGACAGTCTGTGCTAACTTGGAGAGATAAAGTTATAATTTATTGTTTCTTATTAATTGGGTTTATATTTGTGGGACTTGTCTTTATTTAAACAGTATTCAGTAGAATTTAGACCAGTTAGGGAGTAGTTAGTAGTCGAAGGGGGAATTGTCAGTTTGTTAGTAATTTTGTTAATTCGTCCCTTGTGGGGTTAAATAAATAAATTGTTTCTTGTTACTTGTAAAGAGGAGATCTGGGATTTTCTTTGTTTTAACTACTCTTTTAATGGATTACGAGGGGAAAAGCGAGCATCTTTGGGTGTCTCGGGGGTAATTATTAGAAGGGAACCTCTAATTCCATCATAACAGATCGGGGCTTGTGTTTTGATTTAACTATCAGAGGGGTTTGGCCATTCCCTGTTGTAACACAGTTAATGAGTTCCAGAGGCCCACCACCCTTCAGGTGAAAAAAATTCACTTGAACTCCTTCTAATCCTTTTCCAGTTACTTTAAATCTATGCCTCTGATTATTGACCTCTTCGCTAAGGAAAATAGATTCTTCCTCTCTACTCTACCCAAACCTCAATTAATCTCTCCTCAGCCTCCTCTGATCTGAACGAAACAACCCCATGTGATTTATCTCCAGCTTTTGGCATGGTTTGTTATTTTCGGAAGGGCAAAGTTTTTTTTGTCGATTTGATCACACATTAGGCTTACATGTGTACTCATCCCTATATTGAACAAAGCGGGTGTGCCACACAGCATGTGACAAGCAAGCTGCAATGCTGCCTGCCCACTCACTCTGCTGTTGTTAAATTGAAAGGGAATGTTTTTGTCCCTGCACTCGTCACACCACATCATGAAGTGATAGACTGGAGAGTGAAATGTTATACAAAACAGCCATCAGAACTTTCAGAACTGAGTTAGTTTCAACAGGGGAGAAAGCGGGTGATGAAGATTGCTACATTCTTCTCCAGCAGAACTTATTTAGTGGAGCAGTGACGTCCGCATGAGGCTTTTTTAGCCTGCAGAACTTGGTCATAAAACTCAGCCCCATTTGTACTTGTATATTTGAGGTGGTTTGGTCCTGGTTGGATATTCAAATATTTGAACAGCTCAATTTGAAAGCACAAGAGCAAAGCAAACAGCAACAACTGGAATAAATCACGGAAAGCTTGAATGAAAAAGAAAGATGAGGAAAATGTGCATTGAAAGATGGACAAGATACTGCATACAATTGTTTATAGTATTTGATCTGGGATTGTTCCAGCATTCCACACAGACAGTCATTATTGTCAATGTTATGAAGGCATGTTAAGAATATTGTTCATTAATATTACTTGAATCATACATATTTCATATTTAAGGCAGGTGCCATAACAGGGATGAAGAATTCGTTAGATTGCTATATGCAGGAAGGCCATAAAGATTTTCTTTGAATACATTTACAACACCACTTCACAGAATGTCCAGAGTAACTATACCCCAATGCTCTGTCCCAATTCCTGAAACTATTTTTCTTCTGAGTATTTGTTTTTAAGAGGACGTTAAAAATATAACCATTCTAAATCCAAACCATGTGACACACTGATTAACTCTCACTGTTTTGAACTTTACTGGAAACAAACCACAAAGCAATAATATACACCATTAAATATTTCATTCACCTTCACTAAATTAACTTCGATAATGCAGTATAGGAAGAATACATTACAAAAGCCAAGTAATCTTGTCCATAGGCCACTCATGGTTAAACCACTCAAGTAATGTCAGTCTGTCAAGAAATATAAAACCTATGCCAGCGAAGTTCTCTCTACCTTCTGTCATCTTGCACGAGATACAATTAGATTTGCTGAAATTGGTCACTATATTAATATTAACACTGCTAAAACACATTACATGCTAAAACATCATAGCACTATATAGTGGAAAATTGTTTGATATGTACTGCATAGCAGACATGGGGCGGGGGTGGTGGAATCTGCAAGTCACCTTACTTGAATAGAAGAGATTAGATGGACCAATACTTACTGCATGATTATCACAAATTTGGGTTTGGCAACAAATTGCAAGCAACCTGACTTTGCATTTAATTTGCTGATATAAAGATACGATGATGGAAAGCACAACACAGTATGTTCAAGACTGCTGGATTATCATCCACTAACATAAAAGAAAAGCACCATATAATACACTAAAAAGGATATGAATGTATCAAAATTTTAATAGCGTATCTCCTCAGTGGATTCAAAGGGCCTAAAATGTACATGGCAGGTGTGGCACTAAATCGGAAGATAGCTTTTCCTCTGTTTAGTACTATAAAGGTCTGTGAGGAGAAAAAGAGGAAAAATTGTTACACAGATTGCAAACATAAAATGTTCAACACATTTTCATGCAGTAGATAAGTCAGTAAATGTTACTTCAATGGACAGCTTGCAGAAAGCTGAAGAAAACATTTCTAATGGCTAGTTCCGTGATACTTCCAATGTGTTGCATCAACAAACATTTTCAAAGAGAAGTAAGAAGTACTTTGTTGAATATGACATGGGACAATGTCAAACTTGCATTGAGAATCGTAATGTGAATTGGAAACAAGTTAATACTAAATTCACAAGGCTTAATGCACAGCAGAGGGGGATCTTGGACATGAACAAAGATGGATATTAGTTCAATACAGAGAAAAGGTTAAGTGAATCGTAGACTCTCGGTGTTGAAATGCTAAGTAAAGAACTTATCGTACAAGCAGAGGGACACAAACATAACTCAGAAGTGCCAGCAATGCAAACAGGTTGTGTAGGTGCCCTTCACATACAGAATCAATTCAAACAGAGAAAAAATATTCTTTCATACCACAACTGTATGTTTAATTCTAGATTTAAAGCTCATTTTACCATCATGTTAACTGTGAGAAGTTTCATGGTCAGCAACTTTATGTATAAGAAGGATTACAAGACAATATCCAAAGATGAAAACTATAACGTTAGCAGAATTGCATCCCATTGAATTTTCAAAATTGCTTTGGATGAAAAAGATTTTTCTTGCTTTTTGATCTCGTCCTTCCAGAATTCTAAACGTACTGTCTCTCCATTACAGTATCTCAGTGATTTTTTTAAAAATTAAAACAAGTCTGATGTCTTAGCTTCAACAATCCTTCCTGCCAATCTGTTCCCAATGTTGAGCACCTCCTGTGTAAAGGCTTCACACACAATTGTGGTATCAAATATTACACCTAGGTTGATAAAGGTCTGCTGAATTCTTATAAATTACATGCTTGTGAAACCTTATGAAGGGCGTAAATGAACATTTCCACATTAACAGGGACCAATTAGTCCCAATTTAGTTCAAGTGATCTTTGTGGGATTGAGAAGGACTAATTTCCATATGGAAGTGACAGGCAATGCTCCACAGCTTTTTCTGTAAATAAACTTCAACTTTTATTTGGGAGGGAGCATTCATGCTTTTGTGCTCAACACAGCAAAGCATGTTCGAGGTAGTAAATGGAACACCTCAATTGAGGCATTCAGTGCCAGTATCAGTCATTTACCAACCAGGTATGGACATCCAAACACAGACCGCTGCTATCTTTATCCTGCAAAAAACTCAAGAAGGGTACCCATTACTGCAGCAGCTTGCATCAGGAGTTTCCCAGAACAGGAGAAACAATCACCATTAACTGCAGTGTGTCAATTACAGCTAAATCATGGGTGCTCTCATGCTGTGGGCATACACCTTGGAGAAAACTGGGTTTCCCACTACATAGAAAATGGTTGCAATAATTAATTCTAATTGCAAGATGTTAAGATGCTCAAGCATTAACATGGCTGAAAACATGCAGCCATCAATTCCTTGCCATTTGAAAAATATAGTTGATGGAATCAATCAATATTTGCAATTTGAAACAGCTCATTATCTTTTGCACATTTTCATGTTATTAAGAATAATTCCAAAGTCATAAAATTATTTACAAAAGCCATCAGAAAGATTTTGAATTTGTTCAAATTGAAGCTATATTGTGATGTAGTTTGTTCAGCAACCTTTATCAATTTGGTACAGCATTTCATCAAAATAATACCATGGGCAATTAAAGTGGTTCAATTTAATTACTTACGTCTTTATATGCATTGCTTTAGTTACCTTGAAATCCATCACTGTGCATCAGCATGACCATTCGTCAGGCTTTGAACTAGTCAGTTCATTTTTAAGGGGAGCTAGTCATTCAATAATTTTGTGAAACATCAAACTAAACAGTCACAGGCCATTTTTCCAATGCTGCACTTTGAAAATTGGCGACAGGTGCAATAGCGATCTATTTTTTTGCATTTGCGCACAAGAAGCAGGCCATTCCATATTTGCATATTATCATAGCTGATTCACTTGTGCGCATTATTTTTAAAACAAAGAAAGGTCACCTCACATCCAGCTTCAAATTGAGCAAAAGATGGCTAACCTACAATACAGAGTTCTAAAAGTAACATTGCTTGCAATCAGCATCATTATCCCAGTCAACTGTGTGGTACTATTAAGCATAATATCTAACATAACTCCAGGGATGTCACCCATCCATTTTCAGCCAAACAGCTCAAATTTGTGAGTCGTGTGCCTGATAAAGTAACATACAGACACCAAATCTCTTTTGTGCCCCTTATTTTGGAACTGTCCTAGTTATGAAGGCTTTCACTGAAATTTCATTAGCGATAAAGCAAACCTTAATCTCAAGCCAAAAGCCCACCCTCTGCCCTTCTAACACTCCAGTGCTCACGTGGCACCATATTGCTTATGGTTGAAGTATTCTGCCAGTGACAGACAAAGTGCCGACACAGTAGCGGGTGCATTAGATATTGATCAACATCCCATATGTTGGGCGGGGAGAAAAAAATATTAGTTTGGTAAACATCAATCCCAAGTGCCATTTGCAGCCATTTTGCACAGCAGCCTGAATGCATTAACAATTTCCTCACATACTATTAGGAGAGCCTCAAGATGAACTTTTAAATATTACTGATCAATTATAAGTAATGTACAACATGGCATGTCAAATTACCCTTTCAATGTCAGAAACACAGGCTACTGTAATAAAATGTTACCCCAGGGGAGCAACACCTCTTGAAGAGCTGGCACTGGTGACTGGCAATTGCTATGTACACTGCTCCACAAAGGCTACAGAAAAAGGGAGAGTGAATTCTAGAAACTGTATCCCATACTGTATTTAAAAACCAAATTAACAACAAGATTGAAAAGGTGTGTTACTTGATAGACAGTCCTTCACTCTCATATAGCGTCTTTTTATTTCTTTGTTAATGTCCCTATAACAGCCACTGTTCTGATTATAGAATTACTTTATTTCCTGAAATATAAATGTGCCACTACCTTAAACTGTCATCGTCACTCCTGAAATCCACATTCAAATTATCTGCTCTACTTGTTCTCACTCTTCAGCAGCCCCTCAAAATTGCAGAACCCCACTCTGCTCTCAGCCTTTGCTCCCTCCTACTAGCCAAAACCTTTCAAAACTCAAGCTAAATATAACTTAACGAGTACTTTTTAATTAAATTCAGGCTCTGGTTTCCCCTTTGTTTTGTCTTCCCACAACCTTGTTGCTACCTTAAAGCAACAGACCCTTCAGCTTGACTTCTCCAAATAAAAACAGATCAGTGTACATGAAGTCTCGTATAAATTCAGATTTTTGGAACGGAAAGGAAAAGGCAAGGTTGGCTTTCTCATGAACATGCACAACATAGCGCCGCACTGTGAATGCATCAGAGAATTTAATTTGTATTTAATGCAATAAATTTTCCACAAGGGGGTTTCGATTTCCAAAAATCTTTTGGCCGGAATTCCTTACATACAATGATTGCAGAGCGTCAAAAGATATCAAATTTCACAGCAAGAAAATGATTTGCATTTGTATCGCATCTCGGTACCTTGGAAGTGTGTTATATAGCCGAATGCAGCAGCTATTTTGCGCACAGCAAGATCTTTAGAAGTGCGATCTGGTTTTGGTAGCATCAGGGACTGTTTACCCACAGACTGCCCACTGTTTTAAAATGGTGCCACAGGTTCTTTAATGCCCACCTATAGCACAAGCAAACTGGGGTCATGATTGAGCACTTCTTCCAACAGTTGGCTTGTCTGACAGCACAGCACTAAAATTTCAGCTTAGATTATGTGCTCAAGGCCTGAAGAGGGTCCTGAATCCACAATCTTCCATTCAGAGGGAAAGTGCTACCAAGTGAGCCAAGCTGAATGACTGATATTTTCCAAGATCACCTTTAACCTGAATGCAAAGGCAAAAAAGTCAGCGTACAGTGCTCTCGATTGGGAAAATAGGATTAGATTTGAATTTGTCAAATCCTTCTCCCAATGGTTCAATTGTTATGTACATTGCTCATTGTTCCAATGAGCCATACAAACCAAAAAGATCCCAGGTTTGATTTCCTAGCCTTGCTTGAATCAGTTTCTGGCAGTAGAACTGTAATGACTGGCCTTAGCGCCACTATACAGCAATCATTTCCCTGAACGCTGAGCATTGACTGCGGCTTGAAACGTGCACATACTACGTGAATGTTGGAGCACAAAATCAGGCTTGGCTGTGATGATCCCCTTTACCCACCTCAAAGCCTACCATCTCTCAGGACTGGCAATGTGGGCCAGCTACTGGTGGGTTGGCAACTCCTATGACTGTGCCCAGCACACGACTGCACCTCTGATATAGGTGACGAGAGACAGTGTGTGATGGAAGCTGGCAAACAGACAAAATAAATCATGCGTGAAGTAATGGTCATTCTCACTTATTTAATGAGTGTGATCTCACCAGTTAATATGTAGGATTCAGTTTGTACAGTGAGAATTTTGGAATCAGAAATGTTTATTACATTTTCCTTTGAAGCTGATAGAAACACCTGTATCCCATCATGTTACAGAGTTGCAGAAATGTCAGATTGACTTTTCTAGACCTCACCTACCTTATTCAGGATCAAAGATTTAAAGATATTTGACACTGCGCAATACAAAAAAAGTTAATTTCCACAATTTCCCTTAAACAGTATATTTTGCTTCATATTGTTTAAAACACAAGAAAAACTGCTAGATTGCCCATAAACTGTACCCACTGTAGGGTTCATTCAGCTGGATGAGCCTTGATGTTCAATTACCATGGAACTCAAGTAAATTTATACTTAACCCCACAAACCAAAGCTTAAGCCCTCTGTGTTACACTCTCCATAACAACGGCAGAAAAGGCAAGATTCCCAAAGCATCTTGTGAGAGAGTACCAACCACATATTATGCAAGTCAGATCTCACTAGGCTACAGGGCTGCTTGTTCTCA